TTTTTTATGTAAATCTAATAAGAAAACCAGGAAGAAGCAAGGATACACATTCTCAAATTCTAAGATGATTTAGAACCTATTTAGCAGTAGGAAGGAAAAAGTCAGAYCATTTATTGCAGTGGAGGAAAAAAAAGAGTAATATCAAGAAATGTAATAGCAGCATGTCAAACTCTTCTGGTGCAAAGACAGTAAAAGGCCCACATTCAAATTCCAAATGTAACCCTGAAGGCAGAAAGACATGGSTTTAAGATTTATGAAAGAGATGAAGACACAAAGGGAAACTGATTTAGAACCCTGTCAACAGATGAAGCAGCATTTCCAATTTCTATAAAGAAATTACTTGGCTGATATGGAAAAAAATAAAATCAAAATCACATCAGCAAACATTTTTTTCTATCATCATATCCACACAGGAATCTAATATCTGGTTTGGTTGACTTTTGTGTTTTATTTATGTCGTTATTCAAATCATGTAAACAAGTAGGGGAATTTGAAGGACAGTTTTTTGAATTCTTACTTTTGAAATAAAACCAATCCAGGAAGGAGCAGGCAGGAACAGCACACTCCCTCCTCTTGCATGTCAGAAACAAAACAGCCTGTTGCTGTCCTATCACTACCAAAAGTGGTGACCTTACGGTGAATGAATTACCATTTGCTCAGCTCTCTCGCTTTACTCTAATAAGCAAAGAATTGTTCACAGAGATAGGAGGAAAAAAACAGATAGAAAACCATTTGTAAGTCTGGACTGTGACTATCTGAATCGCAATGAAGGCCCAGAGTGTTCTGTAATGTTCAGATGCGAGTCCCGGACAATAGAGCCTGTGTTTGTTCTTCCTCAGAAAGTTTCAAGAGGACAAAAAAGGGGGAGCAGAAGAAGCAAAAGGATAGGTTGTCGGTGGAGGGGATTACACATTGTGAGAGAACCACGAATGTTTGCGTCTGTTATTGTGGTGACTGAATTRCTTTCCAGTACCAGGGTATTTAGTTAAGCAGATTGTGTTTCTTCAGGGATCTTACTCGGAGGCAGCTTGTGACAAGTGGCTTCTGGGATTACTGAATCACACAAACAGGTGGGTGTGGCATTCCACTTTATGTATGCAGTTTTATTTTGTTAGCAGAGAGGGAATCAAATACTAAGTGTCTGTGTGTGTGTGTGTGTGTGTGTGTGTGTGTGTGTGTGTGTGTGTGTGTGTG